CATATGTGTATGTACACACTCCTTTCACTACCATATTTGCAATATATTGTGATAAAAGGTCATCTTTGATTGACCTAGTGAACTCTGTATGTGTGTATGTGGTAGCCACTAGTGTCATGTGATAACATACTCCAGATAATGAATCTGACAATTGGCCTGTTCGTGGTTATGTTATTGCCCTATGGTAAATGCCATTCCTTATTTGTACAATCATGTGACACATATGTGCAATTGTGCATGGATTGCATATAATGTGTGTAGTGTGTGTTTATCTGCTGATGAGTAGGTGTATTATGAATATCAACTCATTTCCTTGTGTAGATACTAGCCGTATACCCAATATCAGGATATGGCCTAGAGTGACACATGATGGATATTACTCCATTAATGCTACTCTCTTAAATGGAGTTACTGGTGTTATGGTACAGGTGCTATATCTCAATGGGACAGTGTTCTTCAACCAGTCTATCGTAAGGGATTCTTTGCACCATTATGCTATAGCTAATAGCAGTACTCGCTTACCTAATGGGACCTTTGATGTATTTGTGTATCCATTACTGAGTGATGGAAGGTCATTTGATAGTAATCATACTGCAATGAACTTCTCAGTAACTTGTACGATGAGTCATGATCCAAGTGATGATCCAAGTGATGATACGCCTACTACTAAGAAAAGAAATGTACCTGGTAAGTTAACACAAAGCAATGAATTTTATCAAAAATGACTAAAAAAAATTTTTTTATTTTTATAATTTTTCCTTATATATACATGTTTTTATGTTGTATTTCAAGTTTGAGCTGATTCCAATTGAAATTGGATTTTTTTACAAATTTTTAAAGTTGCTCCGAAATTGGGCCAAAGTCCCTGTACTATAGTACAGGGTCATCAGCCAAATTTCACCAAAAATGACTAGGAGAGATTTCTTGATTTTTATAATTTTTCCTAATACATATACATGTTTTTATATTGTATTTTAAGTTTGAGCTGATTCCGATTAAAATTAGATTTTTTACAAATTTTTAAAGTTGCTCCGAAATTGGGCCAAAGTCCCTGTACTATAGTACAGGGTCATCAGCCAAATTTCACCAAAAATGACTAGGAGAGATTTCTTGATTTTTATAATTTTTCCTGATACTTATACATGTTTTTATATTGTATTTCAAGTTTGAGCTGATTCCAATCAAAATTAGAATTTTTACGAATTTTTAAAGTTGCTCCAAAAAGTCAAAATGACCCACATCAATGCAAAATTAGCTCAAATGAATAGTTGACTTAAATGTACACTGTACAAACAGAAGATGCTTACCCCAATCATGATTATGTTTATTATTTTACCCTTAATCTTATTATAGTTGGATTAATCGTCACTGTTCTGATCTGTGCACTAGTATTATTGATTGTTGCTATAATTGCAGCTATTCTGCTAGGAGTGAGAAGTAAATTATAATTGTTTTTTAAAGCAATGCAGTAATGGTTCGTTATTTGCAGTGAGGCATAGGAGAGGAAGACATCAATGGACACTTCATCCTCATCCTAATGAAGGAGGAAGAAGAGATGACGGAGGAGGAGGAGATGATGGAGGAGCAGTATTGAGACAAATAAATGGAGGAGATATTGAAATAAATAATGTTGTTGCTAATCGTAGTTGCAATGAAGAAAATAATGATATAGGACAAAGACAGGTACAGGTAGATAATGTAGAAAATGGGGACAACACAGTCAACACTGGTGATGAGTCTATTAATACTTCTACTCCTTCTCTATACAATGGAGGACAAATAGAACCAGCTACTGCAGATAAACATGAAGAATCAGCTACTGTGGACAACGCTTCAGCTCAAAGCAATCTCACAAAACCAACGGAAGCTACAGAAGTAGGGTAAGTTATTATTATTGTTATTATTGGTGTCTATTTATATGATAATGATTATTTTACAGTAAAGAAGATGGACCTGTTATACCGGCAGATCAATCTTGTGGACTTCCAACAGCTCAAGATACAACTTGTAGCTCTGAAGTCAATTCATTGAGTACTCTTTTGCCACAAGATGATTTTCCTCCAAAAAGCACACCTACGTGGGGTATATTTAAGAAGAAGACTCATCAAGGACACGATCACCCAGTGCTACCAAATGAAGACTTGGATCAGTTACAAGGAGATGATTTTGCGTTGCCTGAACCTATTGCTGGTACTGATAATGAAGAAAAACCTGATGTTAGTAATAATGATAATAATAATAATAATAATAATAATAATAATAATAATGTTAATTTTTTGATTAGGTGGTACATGGTATCATGGGTAGACAACAAAGCATACCTGTGGAGGATCAGGACGCCACTTCACGGTTTGAATATTACTCTCCCACCAGTTCACTTAATACCTGTCAAGTAAGTAAAGGTAATAATAATAATAATAATAATAATCATTTTATTTTATTTTTCCCTGATACAGCTGAAAATTGAGAAGACCAACCAATGAATATTAAGACTAATCAAGCTGAATGCTATTTTCCTACTTGCTGCCAATAATCATTGTCTTGCTAATCATTTTGCTTTGCTAATCATTTGCTGCTTTTATCATGCAACCACTGTGTGCTTAAACTTATTAGACTTTATCCAATTCTCCCTCCTTGTAAATATTAGGATATTGTTTGAATTTTATTTATTTTTATTTAATAATAATAATAATAATTGAACTGAGCCGTGTCACAGTGATAATTTTAAGGTATAAATCAGCAGTATTTTAGGTGAAAATGCTGTCAATTTTTAGGCTTATATAAATATTACTATAGTTTCATTTGTTGTGTGGTCACCGTGATGATGCCAGCCACACCTCTGTATTTTGTGAACGATAGTCTGCTCTGAGTCTGGCTGGTCCGAACCGGTCTCAGGCGGTCTGGACCAGCCAGAGTCTAACGATATTCATGGTTCTGAATTTAAGGGGACTCCCCACTGCAAATTTTCATAAAGAAGCTTAGTAAAAAAAAAAACAACAAAAAATGGACACCTACAGAGTTTTCGTGTTTGTAGTTGTCTTTTGTGTGGTACAGCAGCCCGTTTCTTGTTGTCACCACGATGGGTGCGAAAGGATATCACATTCTTTGAATTTTAACGCAGTCCAAGTTAATGGCACTGGTAAGTTTGTCTACCTATTATAGTAACCGCTACATTCATCAACTTACAGATATCATTTATGAGAACTTTACTGCTCCGGTCAACATTACAGTGTATGATACTAGTGCTAGTACTGGCCATGAAACCAATGCTACTTTCTTTGCGGCATTCCCAAATTACTACAATAATGCTCAGTGTATGATAGTGAGAGCATTTGAAAATGACTGCTTGTCCTCGAGCCAGTGTCAGAACCGTAAAGTAAAACTGTCTCAAGGAGGTGGAAAAAGTAGTATAAAATTTATACTACGTAATTTAACTGTTTCACAAGATGGAACAAGGATAGACATATGTGCTCACTGTGGTGGGTCATATGTCTGCTTCCTTCCAGTCTTTCTAACAGTTAAAGGTGAGGAAAGAGAGAGCGAGATATGAAGTAGATTTAATGTACTCTTGTTATGAATTATATATATATATATATATATATATGTATATATATATAATTATTATTGTTTTATCAATAGGCCCTCCTGTTAACTTATCGAACTATGTATCAGTAGAGGTGACACCCAATGGGATATTAATCACTGGGATCATTGATACTGACACCAAACTACTAATCATTATTAAGAATACTAATAATGAAACTGTCTATGAAGAAATTGTACATACTTTACCGTTTGTTGCTAGTGGAAATAAAATTGGTAGCAATTTTGATCCAGCAGCAAACTACACAGTAGTTATAACTGGCAAGAACCCTGCCGGTACAGGCGAAACATTGCAACATAATGTTTCGTTTAAAAACTGTAAGTTTTTATTATTACAAATCTGTTTATATAGCATTTTCCTTTTAGTTATTTCATTCAATGTAAGTAGTGTAAACCTTAGAATAGTTGATGATCAGGCTGAGGCTATCATTAACTTAACAGTGAGTACTATTATTATTATTATTATTCCTATTATTATTATTATTATTAGTTTAATCGCTCGCGTCCTTTATCAATACCACGACAGATTAAAGTGGAATCTGATTGTATACATAAAGGACACAAAGAGTTTATTCTTAATAAATCAAGTATCTTACAAATACAGCTTTTAAGAGGGACGAAAAACTGTGTTTAAAAATTGTCTTCTGGGAGCGAACAGAAATCAATGAACATTAGTAAGCTTATTACATTGTACATCATAGTTGAGTATTAGTAACTTGAATTGCTTAGATTAACAATTAATTATTCAACTCTGTTCCTTTCATCCTTTGTACTATTTTTAGACACAGTAGCCTTCCCATATTTAGATGTATTATTTTTAGACTTTATAAGGTTATGAATATTGTTAACTTGTTTACTGTTATTCTCAGCTAGCTCCTTGATACTATTGCATCATCAAAACCACAAGTTTACCTAGTATGATGCATGTCTGTGAATAATAGTTATTAGTAATGACATCCTAATGTACACTGTATAGTGTACAGGAGATAACATTATCCAGTAAAATTGGAAATCTGCCTTACCTTCCTTTTTTTATAAGGGAGTAACAGCTACTTAGTTGCTACTCTCAATAATAAATCACCCACTTAACAAAATAAGCATTTAAAAACTCTTTTTGCAAGGATTATGCAATCTCCTGTATACATGTACATGTAATTGCTAATTTGGCTAAACTTGAGTAATATTGAAGTACATGGGGATATAGCACAGTGCTGATAATACCAATGGTCATATGACATACTTTCCCATAATACACTGTGCTATGTGAATATCAGTGTGAATAGTGAATGCAAACTATGCTGGAGCTGAATGCTTGGTACATGAATACCATGTATAGTCACCATGTACTTTTGATGTAATGGTTACAGTTAGTCTAGTGGTGGTGACATGGTTCATTGCATGACTTGTTTATAGTGTTATCTGATATATCACTGTGTTATTATATTTACTTTTTATAGGTGTACAAATCATTCAAAATGTATTCATTTCGTCTTGTAATGGAGGATATTTTGAAATAAATGCAAAACTATTGCCCGGAGCAACGGGCGTTATCATGAGAGTATTTGATTCTCAAAAGAACCTCCTTTCATTTTCACAAGAAATAAAGTGTGATGATGGAGGCTTAATCGCTGCTAACAGTTCAGGAAAACTTGAACCAGGCAATTACACTGTTAAAATTCATTATCTTAATGGAGATAGAACTATTGATAACTCATCTACAAATTACTTCAATCTCAGTTGTAATAATACAGATGATGTATTAACTACTACTGATCCTCCTTCTACTAATAGTAAGATATGTGATGATTATGTGTACATTTGACTACATTTTTTATAGTTCCATTGACTTCAATAGTAGCAATAATAGTGTGCGTTATAGTGGCAATACTAGCAGCTATTGTCATTGTTATAGTAATAGTAGTATTAATGAGGAGAAAGTCTAAAAAAAGTAAGTGACTGTTATTTAATGAGGTTTTATTATTACAATTTAATAAGGTGAATACACTGTTACATTCTCTGATATAAAAGTTATAATTGAAGGCTCAGAGGACAAAAAAAGGTACAAGTATATTTATAATAATGAAGTTCTGTTTTGTATTTCTTTCCTTTTAGTGAAACTGAAGTGGATATACCAGCACCTCACTCTGTACCTGTACGTGATACAGAATCACATTCTGAGTATGTACAAAATGGCCACTCATTTGATTTTAATTTACTTTAATAATTCTAGGAGTCGACCCCATCCTCCTCAAAATTATCCTGAACCCGAAAATCCCCCAGCTCCTGACACGCCCACTAATACAGATGCATCTAATAAACCATTAATTAGTAATGGTGGTGGAAGCACTATGGCTTCTTCAACTATGACATCACAACAAAGTACTGGTGTCTCAGAAAAACAGCCTCTAATCCCAGACTCAAAGGTTAGAATGTTCATATTTTGTAATAAATTTGAAATTTTATTTGTAGCATGATGAAAAGGCCAAGTTTGTTACTTCCAAGATAAAAGTCCCTCCTCAACTTCATCAACAAAAAGAACCTGAAAACAGTCTTCAGAACCCTCCTTCTAGCAGTACTGTCCTAATACCCAAGGCTCCAACAAATAATCGTCCTGAAGAAAAGACAGTAACACTTGCTCCTCCTGTTTCACGAGTTGTGCCACCTCCTAATAGTCAGGATCAAGAAATAAATTCGGTCAGAATTTTTTAAAAATCATTATAAGGACTTTTTTATTTTGTTGTCATTGATTCATTATAGAATTCTGGAGAGGGTCAGTTATCGTACATAAAATCTGGAGCTACAGGATCCTCCACTACTTACCGTAGCTTGGCAGCTGGAAGTAAGTACACTCTTTTTAAGTAGCATGTACCCATTATTACTGATACGTGTAGACAAAAGTGGGGATGAGAAGAAGGGACAATGAAAAAGACAAGATGTGATGAAACTGTATATTTTAAAACGCTGTAGCTGCTTTTTTATGCTTAGTTAGTGTGTGTAGTTATATAATGCTGCTTTTGTTATTAATTATAGTGCTGCTTTTATTATTAGTTGCAATTTATGCTACTTTTCATTATTAATGCTGCTTTTATTATTAGTTACAATTAATGCTGCTTTTTGTTATTATTTATAATTAATGCTGCTTTTCATTATTACTTAGTGCTGGTTAGTTATTAGCTGATAATAGCTGTTGCAATGGTTCATTCATGTATAGTAATGATTGTCCTTATTAGGAAGTAAAAAATTCTCTCTCTCTCACACACACACATGTATGTACATGTACTTAATATCTTCTTGCTATGAACTTGAAGCTAGAACTGGTAGTGAACCTTTTGAATATGTACATATGTAAATGGAGACTGCTTAAAAAGGCAGCAAATAAGAGAATCATTCAATAGAAATTTGTGACTCCATCATCTAAATAATCTGCTGAAATATTTATATACATACACATAATATTGAATCACAGATTGAATGAGCAGCAATTAAAATTTTGTATAGACTGGGCCTATAAAATTGCATCATTTTAATTTTGTGTGCTATTTTTTAGTAATTTTATTTTTGCTATTGTTTCAGAAAGCGATTTAGAATTAAGTCAAACTACATGCATAAAAATGTAATGGAGTTTTTGATTTAAGCTAATGTGTATATACAAAAATTAAGAATTCTCTCCTAGCCACTTTTGATGGAATATGCT